AGCGAGTGGTGGGACCAAGCAGCCCATCTTCGTCCCTTGGGTTTCCCTTCGCTCAGGTGCTTCTCTTTTCCAGACCATTGCTGCTACTGCCACAGTGGCGTGTTCGGGATCAAAGTCCTCCTTCTTCTCCTCCCCTTAGTGTGGAGGATTAAGGTTGAGAGTCCCCACCTGGACATATATTAAGGGAAGAGATGGGGCATGAGAAAACCGAGATGGAGTCTGTCTCCTACAGAGAAGGGTACTCCCTTTTCTGTGACCTGTCACATCCTTCTTAGTGTCCCAACTTAGAGCACCATAGAGTCCCAAAGAAACACCATACCTTCAGAGGGAAGGTGGGATATAAACACCTACCACCTCAGAGCAAATGCTTAGTCCTCTTGACCTTTAGGGGGCCCACTCTAAGAGAAAGCACCTCATTGTGCCACTTACTTGAGGCACCTCCATCCTGTCTGGTTGGAGGCCTAGAAAGAGCCTCCATATTAAGGATGTTTATCTTTCCCTAGGGGGCAGGAGACAAGAAATGGCCCCATCCTTCTATGAAAGCCCCAACCATGCTCTCAGACTCAACAGAATGATATTACTCTCCAAAAGCCCTGGCATCTCTTCGATACCACAGAGAAGGGCTGCAGAGGTCTCTGATCCCAAATTTACTGTGAAACCCCATACCTGAAAATTGGAGAGCCTGGCTTTGCTGCGACCAGGATAGCAAAAGAGTGCAGTCTTTCTGAACCCACTTTGTACCAGGGAAAATAGTACCTTAATGGCCGTGGAAGTTATCATATATTCTCACTTAAGACACTCTTCAATAAAAATAGCTTTAATTAGCTGGCACATGGAGGGCCTGTGCAGTCAATCTTCCCTTTTGACAAGAGCAATTAAGGCAGGAATGAGGATTCTAATCCATTCTTGGGATTGGAGCCAGAGTCTGATCAGCCTGGGTCAAAATCCAAGAGAATGCTCTGGGACTGAAAGGTAGTTAAGAGTTCAGGCTTTCAAGACCGTGAGACCTAATACCACCCATTCCACTACTGTTATTCTGCACAGGTTGCTTAACTTGTGCCTCAGCGGACTAGTCCACAACATGGAGATAACAATATCATCTTTGTAGGAAATAGAGGTGAAATATGATCAAGAGCCTGGCACAGAGCCTTCACCAGAAATGACAGCGACTTCACTCTTTAGGGTAGAGTAGGAGAAAACCTACCACTCCAAGGAATGGAGCCCTTAGACAGAAAAGGTCGTGATACATCAAGGCACAAAAGATCAGTAGGAAAGAGCCCATCCTATGTCTGTTGAGGATTCTTATTCCCAACTCCTCCCCGTAAAGGCCACTGCTACCTCGTTGGGCCAAGGAATTAGGAAAACTGAGCCACACTTTCCATCCTGTGGACTTCCATCCTCCCCATGAAAAGACAACCCCAAATCTTTCAGCCATGTTTCAACATGCCAGGAGGTGTTAGGTTCCAGGACCTGGGTGAAGAAAAGGCTGTGCCTCCCCATTCTTCCAGAACCCAGCCCTAAAGCAGAGAGAGGTGGGGAGAGCCTTTGTGAGCTACTGCCAAGCCTGATGTCCAACCCAGTGGTGCTTGGTGCGGTCTCCTCAAGATGACGACTGCCCTTAAGTCTCCTCCAGCTTCCTCACTGGGTGACCCTTAGCAGGGCCAGATGTTACTATGGGAGATACAGTTTTTATACATTTATAGGTTTTAAAAGATCAAGCTCTTTGGTGATAAAAGTTTTACAGACCAGTAAAAATTTATGGCAGAAGATGAGAAACACAGCTGTCCTGGGAAAGACAGGAGCCAGGAATCTGTAGGCTCTTCATTCCACCTACACGAATTGTGGGATTGAGGCAAGCCACAGAGGTTCTCTGGGCAGTGTGTTTTAATCTGGAAAATGGGAGCAAGCATGTGTTAGGGGTATGACGCTGCGTGGCAGCATCTTAGAAGGGCGGAAAGCTGCAGACACAAGTATGACCATAGCTGTCCTCCTGGGGTGCTGGGAGCAGCTGGACATTAAGGGAAGACCCAGGCCTGTGAGGCCTGCAGTCTTGGACTTTTCATTACCCACGCTGGATGGCTGCCATCTGCGTGTCTGCCTCCACTCCCGGGGAGGAGCCTGGCCGTCTGCAGGCTGAGCTGGGGAATCAAATTAGCCAGGCCTCCGCTTTCTCCTCATCCCCACCGGCCATGGAGAGTTCATCAAGGCCTCGCACTAATTCTTATCTTGTTTAAAAGGGGCAAAAGTGACTCCACAGTTTCATCCAGGGCAATTTACACCCCGTCACTGGCCAGGGCTCCAACTGGCCCCCTCCCTCCCCATCTGTTGTGCCATCAAATCCATTAATAGGAAATTTCTTCAGGGGAAACTTGATTGCTGTTCCATCAGAGAGACACACAAGCAATACATCTCCATCCGAGGCCACGGCCTGGCCGGCTGGCTCTAATCCTGTTACCTAAGAAGCTAATTTGCTAATGCACGCGCTGTACAGAGCACATCCCCTCCCTTCCCTAACCCAATTGGGCATTCCCTGAGGATTCCAGGAGCTCAATGCAGAACGGAGGGCTGGGGCCTTGCCACGGGGTCTCTGGGCTCCCTTCCTGACCCTGCACATGTCTCAGCACAGGCCCATGGCTGGCACCCCACGCCCACACCCCCACCCCACCCTCCCCCTGGCATGGAGATCCTGCTGCCCTGATAGGGAAGGGGCCTTGGCATTCAGACCACCCAGTTCCAGAGCTCAGCTCCTCCTGCCACCTTCACCTCGTTGCCTCTCTTCTTCTTTCTGCTTTTCTCTTCCCCTTCCTTTACCATTCCCTTCTCGGTTTCTTACCGCTTCTCCCTTCTCTCACTTTTTTATTCCTTTTAATCTCTTGTTATCTCCACCTTCTTCCCAGACGCCCTCCCCTTTTCTCCACTTCTACCTTCTGCTGCTTCTCATTCTCTTGCCCTTTCCTTCCTGCTCGGGCACTGCCCTTTTGGGATCAAGTTCAGAGCCCAGAGTTTCCCTCTCACTCTCTGTTTCCTCCTTGCTTGGCTCTGTGGGAGGAGTGGGTTCCAGGCCACACAGTCTTGCCTTGGCGCAAGTGATGGGGATGTCCCTTGTGGCTGCACATCGAGGCCCGAGGAACACACAATGGAACAAATGAGGGTGGTGGTTAGGGCGCTGGCAAAGCAGGCGTTTGTTCTCAGTGATGAAACAACTATGGGAGAAACCACAAGTGGGTGAGTTTCTGTAAAAGGCCAAACCTGGTTTGGGCATCTGAAGGGCCCCCATCCGTGAGCGGTAGGATGCTGTCTGCAGCTTTCGTCATGCGCGTAGACAGGAGGAGACAGTCTCCTGGAAATGGCAGCAGACTTCTGCTTTGCAATGACCATAAAGGCAGATGAGCATGAGCCTAAGCATCTTTGTTTATCTCTCCAGATGTTGGGTTGTAGGATGCACGTGGGGATCCCCAAGTGCCACTCCTGAGTGTGAACCCTTCTGGCCTCAGCCTGGAGACCAGGGGGAGCCTGGTGCTTCTCACCCTGCCTTGTCCTGCTGTCAAGTCTGGAGTCTGAGTACATTTATTCTAGGGGGTCTGGCTCTTCAAATTCCCTAGAAGTCGAGGGCCCCCTATTTTTCTCCTGTTCTGCCACTTGTCATTTCTCTTCTTCCAAAAGGAATCCTTGGAGCAGAGTTTCCTTGTTTTTCCTTGTGTGCAGATGAAGCCCATCCATGACTTTGGGTAACCTGAGCTCCTTGAGCTTAACAGAACCTTGCAGGACCACAACTTAGCCACCTGAAGGGGCTCCGTCAATGACAGGTATAACTCTGTATGCTGGTTGCATCACACTCATGAATAAAGAGGAAAACTCCCAATAGAATGATAAAAGGACACACCCTGCCCTCAGTGGTGGTTTTTGTTTCACTTAACTACAATTTGAAGTTCTTCCTTCCCACAGTATTCTCAGCTTACTGTGCTTAAATTCAATTAGCAGAGGGATTAAAAGGAATAAAAATATTTTGTGATTGAATATAAATACAGGTGTATCTGCCTTTAACAGACATTGAAAGGGCCACATCAGCTCAAATGCTGAAGTGAGGGTAGGGGCCCTTCAAATAGAAAGTCCCTGCAATTCTTCCCTTGGATAATGTTAGCGGCACAAAGTCAGGTATCTGAGGGATAGATAGTTGCCTGTTCAACTTACAAGGAGAACAGAAACACTTCTTTCAAGAAGACCACATTGAAAAGGAAAATATAGAGGATGCTTCTGAAATTATATGAACCAAAAAAAAAAAGGGGGTGGGATAGAAAATTATACGTATGGTATATTAACTTCATTGTGTAAAGGAAATTATATATAAAAAAAAATACACCAAATATTGACAGCGGCTGTCTCTGGGAAGTAAGCCTGTGGATGACTTCAATTTTTCTGCAATAAGCATGTATTTCTATTTTATATCTACTACACACGTTTACTACGTACAGTAAAAAATATACATATACATGTATAGTATGAATGGCATAGCGGTACATATATTAATATTTAAATATGAATATTTAGATAAACACAAAGGGGACCCCTTTGCTCTGTCAACAGAGATGCCCAGACCCCTGTTTAGCTAGGGGCACTGTGTCACCTTCTGGAGCCACAGAACAGCCCTCCTGCTCCCCCTACCTCACTCCATCCTGCCTCCGTCCAGTGCTAAGGAAACATATTTGTCCGGGACACAAGTGAAGGCAGCAGGCCCTCCTCCCATTAGACAGGCTGGATCCTTCCTCTGCAGGTTCCTCTTTGGGGAACTTGGCCATGCCCCCAGCAGAAGGGGTGAGCTGGGCTGGGGTACATTGCATCAGCTGAGCAGGCTCCCTTCTCGCTGGTCCCTCCTCTTCCCTCCAGCCCTGAAACCTGATCCAGCTGAAGCACTGATTGCAGGAAAACTTGGCAGCTCCCCAGCCCTGGTGGCTGGGTCAGTGTGAGGTTTGCATCCTCAGAAAGTGCGGGGGGAGCAGCCGGAGAGGCAGGCTGGCTGGGACATGAGGTTGGCAGCCCGTGGGCAGACTGGCCCTTAGCGGGGCTCACCCTGAGCTGTCACTGCGAGACCGCCCCACCGTGGGTAGCCCACCATGCGGCTCTGGATCCTGCAGGCGCTGCTGGCTTTGCTTCTGCCCGCTCTCCTGACACAGGGAGAAGGTAAGGGGTCAGTGGGAGAACATGTAGGACTCGGTTGCCCTCTCCAGAGGTGGGGAGAGTATGCCCCCCCCCCCGTTCCTCTAAGGGCTGAAGGAAGAAGGGTTTGGAGTGGGTGCAGAGGCCAGAAAGTCAGCTGTCCGGAGAGCTATGTGCATGACGGCATGTGATTGAGCTAGAAAGTTGGAGAAGTTGAGTGCTGGGAGAGCAGGGCTTGCAGGAGAAGGGAGCAGAGAGCAACCTACCCCAGGGGGAAAACGTAGACAGGTGCAGGAGAGGGATTCTTCTCTGCCCTGCCCCTAAACTCACTTCTAGGGAAGGCAGCTTCTAGGGAAATTGGAGCTCATTTGGTTCACCCTTTCTTGTTGGAATGTTCACAGATATTCCGTCAAAGCCACACGGCTTGTTAGCAGCAGAGTAGAACCCAGAACTAATGTAGAAATCTTCCCTCTCCTTCACTGGTTTTGTTGCCTGGGCTCTCTCTGGGCCTTCATTTTTGAAAATTCCCTTCCAAGGCTAAACTCCAGTAACACCAAACTTTCCTGCAACTCCCTAGTCATCCTGCCCCTTTTCCTGCCTCCCTTTAGGCAGAGTGTCACTAAAGGATCTGTTTCTTTTTGCTGCAGACAATCCTAATATCAATTTTAGCAGTTTTTCTCCCTATCCACACAGCTTGGGGGAAGTTGGGGCTGGGCACAGTTAAGATAGCTTCCTGGGGCTGGGCGGATATGAAGGGTTATAGGATCTTTCTCTCCATGAACTGTCATTTGGGGAAGTTCAGTAGGACCCGCAGGCCCAGGCTTGATGAATGTGGTCTGGAGCACTTTGGCCCAGGAGAAGCTCTGTCCCTCCCAGCATTGGCCCTTTGCTCTGAGACCTGTGGGGTCCAGTCTAGTTCTGTCCACACTGGTCAGAGTCACTGGTAACATTTCTGGAATGTTGCTGGGGTAGTGAGGACACATAAAGATCTGGGCTTGAATCGTGGTTCCTTCACTTGCAGGGCATCGTACCCCCCTTTCTGAGCCTTGGGGATACTCATCTGCAAAATGGGTTGTCATGATAGCCATACTGGATGGACGGTTGTGCTAAGGTTGAATGAACAATATCTTCACTGATATTATGCCAAAGGAGACACTCAGTAAATGGTCTCTTGTCTTCTCTGTCTGCTTTTCTCTATCCTTCAGAGGGAAGCTGAAAGTTAACCCAGGGATAGGTGGGTGAGAGGCAGGATGGGAATCTGCAGGGCTGATGCTGTGCAGGCAGCACATGAGACAAGCTGGGAGAAGAGGCAGTTTGTTTAGATAAAACCAGGCCTGCTGCTGGCACCTGTCTGTGAAACCCTGGCCTCACCCTGCCAGTCCCATCATGGCCTTGCAGCCCCGGCCTCTAGGGTGTTCCCCATTCCCCAACCCCACACATTTTTATCTTCATATTTCTTAGCACCTTTCAAGAAGTGCTTCTACTGTTTCCCAAAAGGAAAACTGAGATGCATGTAAAATCCCCACAAATGTGGCTAGGCCTGGGAGTTGGGTTTTCTCACCACATTTTTTTATCCTGTAGGCCTCCTTCCTGGGACCATTTGATTTCTCCTGGCTTCCTGCATACGTTACCCTCAAACCTCTTCTTTTTACATCACAGTTGCCCATATAGCAACCCTATGAAGGAGACTTAGCACCCCAGCAGTTTGTATGGCTGGAGGAAAGGAGAGAGGGGATCTTTTGGGGGTAGATTTTGAAGGAGGGAAAGGGAATGTCGATTTTCACTCAATGCCCCCTTCCTTTATTTTGTTTCTTTCTTTTTCTTTTTGCCAGTTGCAGGCTGGGGTCAAGGAGAGATCTGTGCAGACCTTAAGATCTGACCTTGGAGAGGCAAACCCTCAGGCAGGTTCGCCTTGTGGACTTAGGAATTGCACCCTTGAGGCTAGGCTCTCTTGCACCCTCTTCCCTTCCAGTATCACATACCCAGGACAGCTTCCCTTTAGCTCCCCACAGGTCTACCTCCTCTGGGAAGGTACCTACTCTCAGCCCTCACCTGTCTTGTGTCGCTGCTTTTACAACCCAGCTCCCTCTCATGTAAAAGAGTATGTGAGTTACTTGTCAGATGATACCTTTGAAGTTTGTTAGCAGTCTCTGCAGATGCAATGCTCCAGTGATGTGAATTTCAGTGTGTGGAAGTGTCTGGAAATTTTGTGGGGTGGGAATAATGGACACACATTTCTTTTAAAAGCTTTCAAACCAGGGCAAGAGAAGCAGGGGAAGACTCAGCCCCTGATGTTGACTTTGAACTGTGCTCCTTCCCAGCCAGGGCAAGGGAGACACTCCAGGCTGGCAATGCCTCCAGGCCTGCTCTGCTGAGACTGTCTGATCACCTCCTGTCCAACTACAAGAAGGGAGTGCGGCCCGTGCGCGACTGGAGGAAGCCGACCACTGTCTCCATTGATGTCATTATCTACGCCATCCTCAGCGTGGTGAGTGCCCCAGTGCTCCCCTGCTCAGGTGTGGAGCTTTGGGGGCAGGACACCACCACGTGAGACCAAGTCACCCTGCGCAGCACAGTGGTTCTTCAAGTACCCAATGCAGCTTTGGCCTGGCACACAGCTCAGGACAGACTATTGCAACTATCTCTGCATGGCTGTCCCCACCAGGAAACTGGGGTCATCCATGTGGCTGCCTTTTCCAGTCACTTACTGCACGTGGCTCTTCATACCACGTCCTAGTATCCTCTCTAGGAGAGGAGGTCAGACATTGTACAGAGGTGAATGAGAGGGCTGTGGCGACACAGGGGCCTGAGGGCGCTGTGCTGCGGTGGGCGGGATGGACGTCACAGTCTCTGCCTCAGTCAGTGCCCCCCTCACTTGATGCAGGATGAAATCTGTGGGCTTTAGAACATTTCTAGAAGGAAACTACTTCATAACTATGGCTGTTTCAGGAAAGGAAATTGAGAATTGGAAAGGGAAGGGGAGAAAATGATAGGCTTTCATGTTCTGGTTTTGTACCTCTTCATTCTAAGGCAGGAGAGAGAGAGAGAGCTGGTTGGGTAGGTGGCTGGATGAATGCCTTCTATTATTAACTTCTATTATGATATATACATTATATCTGTAACATATACATAAAATAATAGATATGTATAATATATAACAATAGAAAGTACATAGAATTATATATACCTTGTATTATTTCTATGGAAATAATATTCGGTTATTTCTGACATCTATATCGATATTCAACGATGTTAGAAGCTGTAAAGACAGGACAGGACACTGAGCAGGTTTTCTGATCCCATGCAGACTGGGTAAAGAAGCAGTCAGAGTCCTCAGTGGGTTTTTTGTAGGTTTTTATCGGGGTTCACCAGACATATGGCAAGCAGGGGTGATGGGGGGCCAGGAGGCTGGCAGGCCTCCCAGCCCGCAGCAAGTCTTCACTCTTTCTGGGCTCTCCGGCGTTCTCGGCTTCTCTCTCGGCTTCTGCTGCTTCTTTCTTGGCTTCTCTTTCGGCTTCTGCTTCGGCTTCTTCCGGTGTCCCTGTGATGCCGCCCTTAAAAGCACAGTCTTAGCCCAGGTGTACCCACTCCAGGTGCCCGCCATCAGGCATGCATTCAGGATCACAGGGTTCCCTCATCTATCCTGATGGCGGGAGGGCAGAAAAGCCTGATATTTTTCCTTACCCTACAGAAGCTATTAAAGAGATCATTGTGTTTTTTTCTACGATGTGTTCTACTGAAAATTTGCTTCTTTTGTCTGACCAAAGAACTACCCCCTGTCCACTTCTTCCTGCCCCTTTTCTTCACTCCCACTTGCCAAGAAAAGGAAGACACAAAGACAGCTCTTTTTGAGGGGTGGTGTATGCAGGCTGATCCTTAGCCCACAGGACTCCCTTATGCCCAACTGCTTTTCCTTTCACAGGATGAGAAGAATCAGGTCCTGACCACCTATATCTGGTACCGGCAGGTGAGTAGCCCAGTTCTTCCTCCACCCTCATTTCCTGGAATGGGAATTAACCTTCCAGGAGGGACCTCCAGCTCAGAGGAATCAGGAATCTCAGAGGCCTTGGTGAGGGAGAGGCTCAGAGGCACACTCAGGAGACACAGGGTCTGGACCCCACTCATCTCAGGCCTGGGAATGGAAGGAAGGAAGCATAAAGGTCACTGGGGGAGAAATCACCCCAGCCCCCTCAGGGCCTGGAAGTTCTTCCAGAATCTCAAACAAGTGTCTGCCTCCCCTCTGCTGATCTAACACCTCCAGTGCCTAGGAGCTTACAAGGCTATCATTTTGCCTTCAATTAGCTCTGGTTTCTAGAAAATTCTTTTTTTTTTAAAGATTTATTTTTTTTAATTGATTGATTGATTGATTTATACATACAAGCACTGGGTACAGTCAGAAGCGCGGGAGGGTGAGAGAATTCACCAGAGCCAGAGTGGGGAGCAGAGCAGGCAGAAGGACCGAAGTATACTGCTGAGGGGAGCAGCGGGCGGCAGGAGAGGTCTGCGCGCCATGTGGGACTCTCACCCGTGGCCGGGGAGCAGCCGGGGATCGAACCGGCACTGCAGAGGCTGTGGGCAGCTTCGCAACCCAGCGCTCAACCGCTGCGCCACCGGGGAGGCCCTAGAAAATTCTTCTTTTAATTAGGTAAAATTGGATGATAACCAAATCAGGTGACTGAAACTGGATGATTCCATCCACTTAGTCCTCACACCCTTGGCCACCTCTCCACTCTTCCCGCTTCTGACGGGCATTGACCAGGCTTGGGTGTGTTGAGGTTCTGAAGCCATGGCAGCGTTGGGGGGAAGTAGCAGCTGGCAGGGAAGGGGGAGTGAATGGTAGAGGCTACTGTCCTCAGGAGTGTCCTGCTCTGGGGCTGTGGGGAGGACATCAGTGCAGAAGGGGGATCAAAAGTGGCTGAAGAGAGGAGGGCAGAGGATGGGCTGGTTCATAGAGGTCAAGCAGGAGAGAGGCTCTGAGAACATACCTGGCATATCGGGCCCCTCCCCCTCTGTAAAGGCAGGAATGGACCACTGTGCAGGTTTTCTGATCCCATGCAGACCGGGTAAAGGAGGAGTCAGAGTCCTCAGTGGGTTTTTGCAGGTCTTTTATTGGTGTTCACCAGGCATATGGCAGGCAGGGGTGCTGGGGGGCTGGCAGTCCTCCCAGCCCCCAGCAAATCCTCACTCTATCTGGGCTCTCTGGCCTTTTCTGCTTCTGCTTCTTCTCTGCTTCTCTCTCGGCTTCTTTTGGCTTCTACTAGCGTCCCCGTAACGCCGCCCTTAAAAGCACAGTCTTAGCTCAGCTGAATCCCATCTACCTATGCCCACACCCTATTTCAGGTGCCCGCCATCAGGCATGCATTCAGGACAAGGATCCATCATCTATCCTGATGGCGGGAGGGCAGAAAAGCCTGACATTTTCTTTACCCTACACCCTCCACATGGGCACTCTCTACTCCAGCACCAGCTCATGGGACAGGGCAAGGGGTACAGGATTCCTGATAAACTGCTCTCTTTTTACCTCAGAGGCATCCCTTAATACAGAGCACACCTTCCCTTGGGGAAGGGACCCAAACAAGAATGAGGAGGCTGGAGCTCCTTTCCTGGGGGGTCTGGCTGAGGCCCCACCTATGGACCGCTAGTGTCACTTGCCTATCCCAGCAGTGAGGGGATGCCAGTCTACTATGTGCCAGTGACTGTGCTAAGGGGCTGGGATAAGAGATGCAAATGAGATGCAGGCCATGCCCACAATGAGCTCTGAAGCATAGACAGGCAATTAAATGCAGCGAAACAGCCAGTCCAGGTGTCAAGGACAGGCTGACAACCGTGGGAGCACAGAGGGCATATAAAAGCCAGCCTCGAGAGTGGGGGTCACTTTTCCAGGAGGTTCCTGGAAAAGGGAACAGATGATGCCTTAGTTAAGTCTAGAAGGATGACTTACCTCTTCCAAGAAGTGATTTCAGTGGGTGTGGGTAGGGTGGGGGGTGCAGAAATATGCACTCCACGTGGCTGGGAGTTAGAATCCATGAAAGATACCCCCAAACAAACAAAAATCCCATGAAGTTCGAGAGATAAGTGGAGGCCTGATTTTTGCTGGCTTTGAGGCTTAACTTGATCCTAAGGACTATGGGTCATCTCTGAAGAATTTGAAGCCAAGAAGTAACCAATCAAATTCAGATTTTAGATCAGTCAGGATAGTGGAGAAGGCATTGAACACAACTTAACAAAAACCATCCCACCCTGTGAAGTGGTTGCTATTATCCCCATTTATATGTATCCAGACCACTATCCAAGAAGGGCTGTGTCTGAGAGCCCTCAGTGGCAAATAGGGGGTTCACAGAGTTAGCAGCCACCCGATGCCTTCCCTGGGGGAAGCTGAGTCTGTCTGGGTCTCATTTGCATGTAGAGATTGTGTGAGTACAGAGATAGGGGGACTCTTAGGCACTGCTAGTTAGGGTGCCGCTGACACCCAGATTCTCCCAAGAAGGTGCCCACCTGTTGCCCACTTGTTGCCAGGGCATTAAGGGGTGAAATTGGCCTGAGTTGCTGACACCCTATCCCAGATGCTGGGGCTGCGATGACTGGTCCTGCTTCTCCCCAGTTCTGGACTGACGAATTTCTCCAGTGGAACCCTGAGGACTTCGACAATATCACCAAGTTGTCCCTCCCCACGAACAGCATCTGGGTTCCAGACATTCTCATCAATGAGTTGTGAGTACTGGCATTGGAAGCCCCCTCCCGCAGCCTGGGGACTGGCATGTGGGGGAGACAAAATCACCACCATCCCAAGCCCCTCAGTACCATACCGTGGGTAGCTTGGGTGGAGGTATTTGGGGAGACCCCGGTTTTTGGCTGGATCTCTAGTTTAAACAATGAAATAGCTTCAGTCTTTGTCTTGACTTTTCATCTCTCAGCCTAATTTCCCAGAAGCTGCCGACTCAGGACCCTTACTTGGTCCTCTCCACTCTCGTGTCACTTGGGAGCACCTAGGATTGGGGAGTAGCTGAGAGAGGGCGATGAGGTCTTACAGTATTTTCCTGGCTTGCTCCAATTTTTCTCAATGGTGTCTCAAATTCCTCTCCCTCTAAAAATAATTTTTCTCATTCTAGAGCTGAGAGGCCAAGAAAAACCTAAGTCAGAGTGGAGCACAAGGTCCTGATCTCCCCCCGAATCTGCCCATCGCCACTAAGCTGGCGAACCTGGGACCTGAGCTCTGCCCAACCCGAGCAGGTGGCAGCTTAGGGACTATTCCATGACTTAGGGCCTTTGGATTTCTTGCCTGCCTTTTGTGGCTAGGTTGCCAGGGGAATAAAGGAGAAATGCCCTTTACTGCTAGGAAAGTAACCTTGACAATGGCAGGCAAAGGAACCTAAGCTAGATTAAGAAGTCTAGAAAACTGTCGTTAGAAAAAAATGTCAGGTCGTCCTGACACCCAGACTTATCTTGAATTTCTTTCTTACTGGGTTGCTCAGAAGCCTTCAGACTGCTTCTTGAGCCCCTAAACCGATCCCTCTTCCCTGCCCAGTGTGGACGTGGGGAAGTCTCCTGAGATTCCGTACGTGTACGTTCAGCATCACGGTAAGGTCCAGAACTACAAGCCCCTCCAGGTGGTGACCGCCTGTAGCCTCGACATTTACAACTTCCCCTTCGATGTACAGAACTGCTCCCTGACCTTCACCAGCTGGCTGCACACCAGTGAGTATATGGGCTTCCTGAGATGGGGGTGCAATATGGGGGCTCCTGGGCGCTCAAGTGAGAGGGATACCTCAGGCTACATTCTCCCTTATCCAACTTACTTACATTTATTTTCTTTATGTTACTGAGCCTCTATTTCCTCATTTTCCCAAGGAGACTGATATTGTCGCCCTTGTCTCCTCCTTCAGTTGTCATAAAGTTTCAACGGGACAGTGTCAACTGACAGTAAGAGGCTCAGTAAGTGGCAGTTCTTTCCCACTTCCAAGTGCTTGTTCAGTGTGTGCTTCTCTACTAGAACACACTTACAGAGGGCAGTGATGATTTCTGGCTGACCGCTTGGTGCTCAGCAAGGTGGCTAGCACAGAGGAAGGTACAAGGCAGACGTCCGTGGAGAAAATGAGTGCTAGTGCTCACTAGTGAGCATACCCAAGTGTCAAAAGGTATCCCCTGCTTCTATTATGATTTTATTGCATTAGCTTTAAATTACAAAGGCAATACATAACTTCCTTTAACAAGAAAACATAATGAAAAATAATCTGTGACTTCAATCACAAACCCATCAGCAACAACTCCCCACACTAAACTACTAAACAACCCTTAGCAGCATAAACTTCATGTAGTGTATTTTCCAGATTCTTCTCTGTCCTTTGAATATATATATACATATGTATGTGTATATATATATATATATATATGCACAAACACATATACATTTATGACAAGTACATGGAAATTGTTTTACTGGCCTTCACTTTTCATAAATGGATCATATTTTTAAAGATTTATTTATTTATGCATACAAGAGCTGGGGTACAGGCCAGATGCTCAGGAGGGTGAGAAGATTCACCAGAGACAGAGTGGGGAACAGAACAGGCAGACTGACTGAAAGACACTGCTGAGGGGAGCAGCGGGCGAGACAGGAGAGGTCTGCTGCGTCATGTGGGTTGCTCCCTGGCTGGCCGGGGATTGAACTCGTGCTGTAGAAGTTGCGGATTGCTTCATAGTGCGGTGCTTAACCCCTTGTGCCACCAGGGAGGCTCCGGATCCTATTTTATGTGCTATTACCCATGACTACTAGGTTCTTTTTACTCAACAACAAGTCTTGGACATTTTTCCAAGTTCAAACACATTGAGATCCTCCTCATAACTCTCAACTGCTACAGAATATCTTGGGATTGAGAGTATCATAGTTTATTAAGCATTTTCCTCATAGATGGACATTTAGATCTTTCCCAATATGTTTCTGCAGTGGATCCTCCAGTGCTTCTGGTGCATATGTATGTCTGTTTCTTCACTATCAATCCAGAGAAGTATTATGTGAAGATTGTGCTTATTTTCCTAATTCACCTTTGGAGACAAGCAGTTCTATCAAGGCAAACATGAAGAATGTTGACTTTTGCTCATTTCCTAAATGGCTAATTCTAACAGGAAAACCTAGAAAGATGTTTAAAGGGGCGTGTGTGTGTGTGTGTGTGTGTGTGTGTGTGTTTGTGTGAGAAAGACTTTCTAATACTTGGTTTGCCTGTTTGTTTGCATTTTGCTGTGTGTTTCCATCTAAGCCTTAATCTCCACCCAGGCAGACACAATGTGCACAAGGTGGAAACTGAGGCTGCAGCTGAAAAGCCAAGCTTTCATCCAAGTTGTTGGGGTGCTGCCCACCCTATGCCTCACCATCCCTGGGTCTGGCACCACCCTGGCACTAGACTCCAAAGCTGGCTTAATTTCTTTTCTCCCAGTTCAGGACATCAACATCTCCCTGTGGCGTCTGCCAGAAAAAGTGAAGTCCGACAAGAGCATCTTCATGAACCAGGGCGAGTGGGAGCTTCTGGGGGTGCTGACCCAGTATCGAGAGTTCAGTATTGAAAGCAACGACTCTTATGCTGAAATGAAGTTCTATGTGAGTGGGACTCGAGGAGATGTGGGGGCAGCGATGAACTCACACCCAGGTAGATTCAAAGAGGCACGCTGGCAAGAGCCCGTGGTGCCTCTTCCCTAACTCCGGGGTCACAATCACCCCTTAGAGCTGCATGCAGCACATGGGCAAAACCCATGTCCCTTCCTCACCCTGAACAGCTTGGATCCAGAGGCAGAGCAGGGGGCTGTCCATTTCCTTCTCCGAGCAGCCCAGGCTGAGGATGCAGGCTGAGATCCCAAACAGGAGTTCTGGCCTGGGGTGGTCACTCCTTTGAGCAGGGCCTTCTGCCTGGGCTTCCACCGACCCCCTCTCTTGGTCCAGGTGGTCATCCGCCGGCGGCCCCTATTCTATACAGTCAGCCTGCTGCTGCCCAGCATCTTTCTCATGGTCATGGACATCGTGGGTTTCTACCTGCCACCGGACAGCGGTGAGAGGGTCTCCTTCAAGATCACACTCCTCCTGGGCTACTCAGTGTTCCTGATCATTGTGTCCGACACGCTGCCAGCCACCGCCATTGGCACCCCTCTCATCGGTAAGGCCCGCTCCCGGGGAAGAGCCCAGTATGGCGGAGGAACCAAAGGTCCTCTCCCATTTCCTGTGTGTGTCCCCCGCTTCCTCCACCCCACCCGGGGGCACAGGTGTCTACTTTGTGGTGTGCATGGCTCTGCTGGTGCTGAGCTTGGCCGAGACCATCCTCATTGTGCGGCTCGTGCACAAGCAAGACCTGCAGCAGCCGGTGCCTGCCTGGCTGCAGCACCTGGTCCTTGAGAGAATTGCCCTGCTGCTGTGCCTGGGGGAGCAGTCCACTGCCCGTAGGTCCCCAGCCACCCCGCAAGCTGCCAAGACTGATGACTGCTCAGGTGAGGAAGGGCAGGGGCACTTCATGCACAAAGGGCTGCTTCCAGCCTGCATGCCAGGGTGGGATGTGGTAGGGAGGCTCTGAGGGACTTGGCATGCCAGAGAGCCTGAGGGGCGTGGGGATTGAGAGCTGTCCCGCACATGGGGCCCAGGCCTGGCTTTATTGGGAGGAGGGAGACTGAGACCAGCCGAAGCAGGACCCTCTCTTCACCTGCACATGTTCTCATCAAGCAGGTATGGAGAGAGAGGGGGTAGCATCCCAGAGGCTGAACCCCTGGGCTAAAAGTGGCTTTTCCCTGAGGTGGACCCAAAGTGGGTCAAATGGATGCCCCTCAGGCAGATATGGGATGCTGTGCCTCACTTGGTGAGTGATGACAGCCAGGCTTTCTAACACCCTTATTCTGATCAAAGACCACGTCCCTTAGAATTTTAAACACCCCAGAGGCAGACAGACAGGAGGCAGTATGGAGACAGGGTTCAGGCTGCCCGGCTGGGCCACCCTCTCTTGACAATGCTCCCCACTTCTTCTAGGCATGGGAAACCACTGCAGCCATTTGGGAGGACCCCGGGACTTTGAGAAGACCCTGAGGGGGCGAGGCAGCCCTCCCCCTCCCCCTCGGGAGGCGTCCCTGGCGGTGAGGGGGCTGCTGCAGGAGCTTTCCTCCATCCGGCACTTTCTGGAAAAGCGGGAGGAAAGCCGAGAAGTGGCCCGGGACTGGCTGCAGGTGGGCTCTGTGCTCGACAGGCTACTCTTCCGCGTCTACCTGCTGGCAGTGCTGGCCTACAGCGTCACCCTGGTCACGCTCTGGTCCATCTGGCAGTATTCCTGAGTGGGCACAGCTCAGGTGGAGGGTGGGGGGTGCCGGTCAGGATGGGGGTGGGGGGATTTCTGCTCTGATCCTTCAGGGCCCAGGGGATGCCAGGAGAGTTCTCAAGACACATATGCAGTTCCATCCTGGCTTCCAATGCCAGTTCAGCTCAGCAATCCCAAGCCAGGGCCTTAACTCTTCCTCCTAAAACTTGGTATGAAAGATCCTGACATTCCCCTCCCTCTCCCCTACATGCTTATTATGGCTTTGAAGCCATTATAAATCGGATCGGGTGAAACCAATGCATCCTCTCACATCTATCTATGCATCAAGCCTCAGTTTCTCTATTGGCACTTTCCCAAATAAGGCACTTTGGAATTCTGCTCGCTCCCTCAACCTTGTGTTGATTTTATTATTACTAAATTACTTTTTTACTGAAGTACTGCCGGCTTACAATGCTGTGCATGTCTTAGCAGTATGGGTTTACACATCTTCAGATGTGCGTTACCACATCATACCCAACGCCAAAGTAGCCGTAATCCTTCACCAATGTCCATTGGGACCCTTCCCCCTTTGCTTCCCACCTCCCACCCTCCCCTTATGGGGACCTCGATTCTGCAGTCAGATTCCAAGGGTTTGTTTTGTTTGGGTTTTGTCTGTTCCTTTGCTTTGCTTCTTTATAGTTCACACATGCATGAAATCATCAGTATTTGTTTTTCTCCTTCCGATGCATTTCATTCAGTAGAATCCCCTCTATTCCATTCATATTGTCACAAATGGTAAGGTTTCTTCTTTTTCTTCACAGCTGAGTAGTATTCCATTGTGCATCTATACCACATCTTCTTTATCCACTCCTCTGTCATTAGGCACGTAGTCAACCGTGTTCTCAGACTGAAGGCAAAACCAAGTGTCTTCTACAAGGGCCAAATAATGCTGCATTAGATTCTAACCCTAATGTCTCCTTCCTCATCTTACCTGGGGCCACTTCCCTGAAAACTCATGTTCCATCAGATGATGGGGGTGGGCTGGGCTGGGTGGGGGGAATAAATTTTGATGGCTCTAAATTCACTTCTTGTCCATTTATCAGCAGCTGGGTGGGTGAAGGAACAGTTTTAAAATTATTGGTAGGAAGGAGGTTTGGGGATTTTTAGTAGTTTCAGTTATTTGGTGCTTTCTTCTTCAAGAAATTAGGAGGCAGCTGTTCAGAAGTAGAAACAACTGGAGTGGGATGCAAGGTGTGGCAGTAAGGACAACGACCTTTTAACGATGGAAAAGTCTGGGGAGAGGTTAAGTTCAGTTCTGTGGTCCCTGGAGAGACACTAGAAGGGTCCACACAGCCCTGTCAGCACATGGGCTCATGGTCTTTCAGTGAAATGGGGGTAAGCACTCCCTGCAAGAGCATCCACGAAGAGGAACAACATCAGCACCTTGGCCAGCACCCGCCGGTTTGATGTTTGCGGGACAGAGAAAGCAAAAGCTTGAGTTTCCCTCTCTGCTCTGGAAACTTTCAGCACCTGCCCCTGGCACACCCACCAGAAAGCAGGACCCTGAGAGTCAGGGGTCTGCTCCTTGATGGTACTTTTTATGTCCTGGCCTCTTTCCTGGCATGCAGGTTTAGGACAGGCTGAGGGGCACCCCAACTCTCACTTCATCCTCCTAATAAGCATTCAGAGTAGAGGAATATAAGGGCCCTTCAAGAGTGATTTTAGAGTCACCATTTGCCTGAGACTTTCCCTTTCTCTTTCTAGCCTTCTCCTTCTCTTGCTCCTGGGTTGCCTGTCACTCACAGGAAAGCATGGTGGACAGGGACTGAACACCCCCAGGCTACAGAGAAAGCGCCCCAAAGGAGTATCTGGGGTGAGTGGTTCCAGGCTGGCCAAGTGTAAGGGACTCCATCTGGAACATGTGAAGCTATTCTTTCCTTTGACACCAGATTCTGCCATCCCAGGAGGCCGTGTAGAGGGCAGAAACTTGGTCTCATGGGAGGCTTGTGTCTGAAAGAGCCTGCAGGCTGAGGAAGGGCAACTTGCCTAGTTTAGTTTCTCTCAGTTTCTCCCCAGCAAGAATTCACCAGCTACTATAACTAAGGTGAACTGAGAATAAGCCTTCATCTGCTTCTTCCACTGCAGACATGTGTGATTTTACTATTAATTAGGGACTTCCTGTTTATCTGTTTTTCTTGATGGCTGGGTGTGAGGGTCTCCCAGTGAAAGGCAGACAATTGTAGGGCTGAGCATTGCCTGCCCCCCTTTGCCTCCTACTGAGCAGAGATTGGGCTAGAGATGGGTAGGGTCATCCCAAGTCTCCCAGGATGGTCCTGGAAGCCCATTACTTGGAGGCCAGGTTTGGGGACCAAAAGTTGTCCCACTCCATGAGCATTGCTAGGGCCATGCTGCTGGATGATTCTCATGTCTCAGGCCAGAGAGAGAGAGAGGTGGACAGCTTGGCACTGTCAATGAACCACTGGTCAGTAAGTGGGTGGCTATTGACTAAGTGTCCAACCAGAGAGCTAGCAAGACACGAGTCATGCTATTGATTCCCCATCTCCCCCTCCCCAGCCTTGGCCCACAATCAATGGGGCAGCAGCGCCCAGCATTGAGGAAGCCAATTAACAACCCCCAGCCTCCACGTGTAACATCTTCCGCTCCACTAACCACAACCAGTCAGCGCATCGATCCAGCATCCAAGCTGTGCTGCTCAGGATGGGAAACTGAGGCCCAGGGTCAGAGACCTCCTGCTGTGTACTGACCTTGTCCATCAGTCCTGATGTTGCTCTCCCAAGGAGACCTTCGCCACATCTGGGATAGAACACCCAGAATTTCCCCACGCCCTGTTATATCTCTAGAACCTGCTTCTTTCTGTTCCCCTGCCCTGCAGCTCACTCTCTCTAAGGAGGGAGAGAAAACCAGAAGCCACCAGGTCTTTATAAGCTTCAGAGGTGCTAAAGGCTTCTCTCGCTCCCCCACTCCTCTCCCACAACCTTGTCTATTCCCCTGCAAACATTCCAACTTTTCATTCCAAACCTGTCATTGACACACAAAAACTCACGTGATAGGTCTTGGAAGTGCCCTACCTGCCTCCCTCCAGCACTCTGTAAGGCTCTAAGCTGGGGAGTCCGCCCAGAGCGGGGCAACCTGGGCTCAATAACCTGGAGGCAGTGGGCACCCCAGGACCTCAGCTTTCAGGACAATCAGGGAGAGCAGCTGCACTCAGTCAGGACCCAGGTTTAGGGGCGATTTCTCTGAGAAATCAGGAGGGAGGAGATGCTGTCTGGGGGGGGTGGGGGGCGAGAGGTGTGGTTGGGCATTGGAGAGCCAGTTTCTCCTCCCTCCCCCTACCCCTCCCACTGGCCTGAAAATCAATACATTTTGAATCTAATCTAATAACAGAGATTTAACGAGGGGATAATGCTTGTGGAGCGGCCAGGCGCTTTGTCTTCCCTTTCAGGCGGCAGCTGGGGCCCATTATCAGGGACAATGCCCCATGCTAATCATTCCCTCTTTCCTCCCAATGTTTGGGGAGGGGTGGTGGGCAAGAGAGGGCAGCTCCTCCCCTGATTGGAGGGGAGCGGAGGGGTGGACGAGGGGGAAAGAAGTAAAGAAGTGGAGAACCCAGGCAACTGTCTCCACCTGACACCCACTCATTGGCTCCCCCCATACACTGTCCCCCCTGACCAGGCACTGGGTACCCTAACATTGCACACAAACAGCAGTAATTAACCATCAGCTGCAGTACCAGTGGCTGAGAGTTGGGTAGGTTTTTTTTTTTTTTTCCCTTTCTTTTCTCTAACTTGGTCCCCTATAATTTAAACTCGCCCATGAAGGCCTGTGATTGGCCAGCCCTGACTGTCGTGGTTAGAGAATTAAACCCTGGCTTTAGAGACAAGAAAACCCCTCTCTGAAACAGAAACCTATTTCACATCTACTCTCTCTTCTCTCCGGGATGTTATAAAGGAGCACCTCCTGCAGGAGGAGGGATAGAGGTTAGACAGTAGGAAGAACTTCCCGAGAATAATCTTCCTGAGTCTGAAGCGAAGGTATAGACTTCATTTCCCAGACTCTGTTAAAGAGAGACCTTCTCCAGGTTGGGAAGGAGCAGACCAGAGGTTTGACCTGCCTTGATTTCCATGATCAGAGCAGAGTTGAGAGGGAGCCAGAGCTAGAACATGCAAAACTTTGCCACTTCCATCCCTTTTTACCACATATCTGCTGGGGACAATGTATGAGTGCCATGCAGTGTGCTGCAGACACCCCAAATTTCAGTTTTGTCCCCATCGCTTGCTACCTGTGACATCTTGCACTCATATTTAATTCCTCTGAGCCTCAATCTTGTCATCTGAATAAATGGGGATCACATTAGCACCTGGCTCAGAAATGGGGTGGGCACCATCCTCCCAATATGGGGCAAAGCCCAGGGAAGTCATGAGACTAGAGCAGAGATATCAGCCCTTCCTCAATCTGCATCCACATTCTGAGCAGGTAGAGCGTCTCCCAGGGGACAGTGGAGGAGAGGACTTTGCCCTTCTTTTCCCATGTCATGGATGTGCAGGATGAAGTTATCATAAGACCAGCGGGGGCTAAAGTTCCTGGCCCCTCCAGGCTGATTCAGACCTCTGTGTCCACACCTCCCTGCCCCTGTCTCCCATGACACCTCCTTCTGGCCCCTGCACACTCCCCGCTCCTTTGCAGAGTTCTCCCCTAAAGCCACAGCTCTGAGTTCCTGCTCCGGGAAGGTGCATGGACACTGGACACAACTTGGTCAGACCATTCTGATTCTAGCAGGTCTCTCCTGTTTAACTCCTTCTCCCGTGTCCCTATGTGCCGAGAGGTAAATTCTTAGGGACACACCATGAGTATGACACTTGGGACCACGGGAGCCTGGAAAATTCAGCTCCACATGCCTAGGAGAGGTCCCCACCCCCCACCTCAAAATTCAGAGAAGACTTGGTCTCGGGTCCAGTGTGAGATGTCAGTCTCTGGCCAAGGGTAGTCACAGCCCAGATTTTTTATTTTTGTCCACAA